TGATCAGAATTTTCGTGCTTATTCGGATTTAGGGTGATCATGTGAAAAATTCACAAACTTTTTGGTATCCACTGTACATATTGCTGTGCATTATGTATCTCTTCAACCACATTTCTATATAGAAATAACAAAACTATATGTCAAGTTCACTAATCAGGTTTCAAGGAAATTGGACAGTTTTTCTTTGACTCATGCTTATGTCATTGTTGAAATATCTGCTGTACTAAAGAAGATTTTTGCAAAGCGATGCGATGTATTCAAGACTAGTTTGCACAGAATCTTTATTGGCAAATATTATCGTGCACAAGTGTAGACTCGAAACCAGTGTACATTTCTAGCATAGGTTGAATAGAATCAATTATGTGGTTGGCGTGCGTGAAAGATATTTTAATAGCTGTACTTTGCAACACAGTAAATCAGGGGTCGCCCCTACCTCGAAAACTTCGTGTTGTTAGTGCGTGCGGAATTCAAAATGTGGGGCTGGTTTAACGGGACGGGTGTAGCTGAATATATCTGGCGCACCATAAATATAAACTCGGACGATCTTCACCATATTTAAGTTTACCATTCCGGATTTTTTTCATCATTATGTTATTGCGATTGTTATATTAGTGGGACGATTGTACTAAATTAGTTGACCTTGTACTTTTGGTGTAAATTTATTAATATTAAGAAATCAATGACCAGCCAATCAAATTTCCGACAAAAATGGGAAGGCGGGCTGTGAGTAATTACACGACATTTCAATGTGTTACATATCTGATATCATTACTGATAAGCGATATAAAGTCTCGATGTCATTTACTGAAAGGTTTGCGTTTCTTTATTAATAACACCTACTGGGCCCCGCTATTTATTACATCTACCAACAATGTTTCAGGATTCGTACAAAGGATGGATTGATAAGAGCATTCGAGGAGGTTACATCCATTGCTGCATAGAAACTGATATCGAATTAGACCCTCTACAAATTGGCCATGGATCGATCATATGGAGTAGTTTATAAAGCAATGATAAAAGAGGAAAGTCGTTTTGGGAAACATCGTCAAGATGTTCTTGGGTAAGAAACATACATCTCTGCCATTACTGTTGCGGTGAAGACATTGAAAACAGACAGTAATTGTGAAGAAGATTGGCGTCGGCATTTCGTCAAGGAGGTTGATATTAATTACTAGCTGTTATGCTGTCGCATTCAATTTATGCATGAACTGATTTTTGATACAAACGTTGTATGTTAGCTAAAACACCACAAGCTTGTGAACAATCATCCCAACATTATTCGATTTGTCGGTCTATATAACGTATGTTTCAAACGGCCATTTGTATTTGTCATGTTATAGTGCTGTTTGAGTATTTACACATGTTTGCTTTATCTAGTCTTCTTGTAATATTCTTATTCAATCGCAAGATAACCGACTTCAGTTTATCAAGCAAATAATGGCAACATCAAACGGTGCTGGCACACCCGCTTTCAAGGATCCCATGTCGTTTCTGGTCAATACAAGTCATATAAATACCGAAAGAAATCCGATATCTTTAGCCTCGAAGTAATACTTTGGGAAATTTCTAGCAGAAAAATTTCGTGCGAAGGTCATATTGAGAATGTTGAAATTGCCTTGTATAAAAGCAATAGCTTTTTCCTGGAACGGCTGAGGAATACGTTAAACTGTATTGGATGATAACCCTGATAAGCGGCCCTTGTGTGAGAATGTTTATGAGAGATTAAAGTATTGTGATACACTATACGATTTCAATACAGTAAATCAGACAATGCATGGAGGAGCTGCCTATTCAAATATAAAACAATACACTAATTCCTCAAATGATGCTATCCATTGAGGAAAAGTGGGGCTGTATATTTAGATCTTAAAGCAGTATAATGATACCTTAAATGATTTGAACAAATCGTTGGAGATGCATATGTATTGAGAAATAGAGAAGCTGTCTATCTAAGAACTAAAACTGTATGACAATGCATTAAATTATTTCAACAAATCATTGGAGATTGAACTAAATAATGCATTGAGAAACAGAGGAATTGTCTATCTAAATCTAAACAGCATGACAATGCATTAATAATTTCAACAAATTGCTGGAGATTGAACCAAATGATGCATAATATGCATTGAGAAATAGAGGAGCTATATATAGCAATCTTGATATAAAGCAGTTTGACAATGCATTAAAGGATTTCAACAAGCAAGTTGAACTTGAAATTAACACAAATTAATGAGAACAATTGTTAGTGAATCATGGCAGCTCATACAGTGGATGGTGAAATGTAACACTGACAACACTCAAAAGTTATATAAACACCACTTCTCCCCTCATCTTCATCAAAAGATAAACTTGAGCAAGCAACTCAGCAAGCAACAGTTATCTCAGCAATTGATAAAACACCAATCTTAACAACCCCACTTAAACCAAATTAAACCACTAACAAAGAATGCAAATCAATGGCAAACAAACAATTCCAACTCACTTCTTGAGCAGCAGATTGGCAACTTGAAGCAACCAACCAGATATACACTGCAATCAGAAAAACCAGAGAAGAAACAGTTAAATTCTGGAGACCTCATCGAATATATCAGGCCATACTGGCCAAAAAGAATTACCTATCAGGAGTACCAATATTAATATCTCTTGGTCGAAGATTGGCAATATGAGTTCAACTCAACTACCAATTTCATCCAGATTAGAAAGAAAGGGCAAAGAGCCATTGCCCTCTGGATCCCCTATAATGAAATCAAGGGCTGGGGAACACTCCAGGAAGGGCAGGAATATATCTACCCCCCCTCTCCCCTGAGCCACAATCCATAATCAAAAAGTCATCCAAGGCTTTGACAAATACCAACAATACCAGCACACCAGAGATGGGAGGCTTAACACCATTAATGGCAAAAACACTGAAGAGGAAGGGACAAATTGCTGGCAAGTGATTACTGAGCATCCAACACACCACTGATGCAACCCATGTGACATAAGAAGTTGTTACACCCTCTACAGTGATACAGAACCTGAGTGGCAAGGGGGCAACGAAGTCCCTGAAACTGACAGTGACAGCAGTTACATCACTGATTGTCAAACTGAGACAAAAACAACAGTCTCAATTACCTCCCTCCTTGAAGACTACTATAAACCAGGAACACCACAGGGGAAGACAAAAAAAGCCTCCAAACTGAAGAGGTCAAGAAGAGGGCCTCCAACCCTACCCAAATACCACCAATGAGCCAAAACAACAATGTAACACCAAAAGTCACCATATGAAAGGCTTGGAGAGTACATCTATGATGATGAAGATGGATGGATTTTTAGGACCTATGACCAAAGGCATGGAGGAACTGAAATCCCTGAAGAGGAAGTCTTCTGGGCCTCTCCAGAAGAAAGAAAAGAAGAGGCTGAAAAATATAAAAAGAGATATCAGTATGAAGCTGAGTGGTATGAAGAACAAAATAGAAGATTCCAGGGGTATAGTCCCTTCGAAAACGGGGAGCCCGATTACTACCTCCATGCCTTGACAATTCCTGAAATACTCCCCCAAATACTGCCCCAACTCCCCAAGCTATAACTATAATGGACCCTCCGGTTATCAAATCGCCGGAAACTATGTCCCTAACGATGTTAGACTCTTTAACAAACGAGAGCTTACATCAGACCATGGTGGACGTATTGAGGATGAGGTGGACTTCGATTCTTGGTTAGATGAGAATTTTCTGGCATTGGACATGCTGAGAAACAAGTGAATCATCTACAGTCGAGAGAGCAGCGGAAAAAGAAAATAACAGAATGGCCATGGAAGTGGAAAAGCCACCAATGGTTGCAGAGACTGTTACGCCAGTCGTAACAATGGAAAATAGTATGGTAGAGGAAGGAGAGATTTTAGAAAATAATAATATAGAAGTCGAATTAATTCCCGAGGAGGAATTTAATAATTTTTTAACTAGAGTCAATGAAGCGAAAAATATCGCTGAGACATTACATATTTATCTTAAAACATACGATATAGGATTTGTATATCTTATTACTAATTCTTCCTATATTAGAGGACTTGGAGAGTAGTCTAGCGCTAGGGGATGAGAGTGCGAAAAAAGAATTGCTGGCACAGTATGAAATACTGATGGATAGAGTCCGGCAGATAAAAGGATTAGGAGAGAGAGAAATTTTTTAGAACCATTTCTCTAAAAAAGGGAAACGGCAGTGATTTATGCGGTACTGAGGTAGAGTGATTATCAACATCGACTGCGGTACCGAAATCTAAGTCCGAAACATTTAATTTATCTTTATATTTTTATTGGATATTAATTAGCTGCGGAGTGTAGAAATTGGTTCAAACATGTATAAAAGGGCACCGAGGACAACCAAGTCTCAACATGCTTTTTGCATCTGGTCTTGAAGACCTGGAAATAATAAATATTTCTAAACTCTTGTTCTTATAAATAAACCAATATTCGATAATTGAAATCCAACCATTCCCTTAACGAAATAAACATGATCGACCTTGCATATTGTCCTGAAATCGACGATAATCAACCTCTCGGTATATAAATTTAATGCATAACGAAACCCTGTTAGACTTTGTCATAAAACTTGGTTAGCTTATTGCAAGCAATGAAAACAGTTCGAATGAAAGGATAAATAAATGCAATATCGTTCTTAAGTCTCCTGGAGCGATTATCGTGAAGAAGGAGCTTAATGTTTATAAACGTAGCAATATGGAAACTGGTTTACTATAAGACTATCTACGATAATGAAAGCTATAATGAATAAAGCTTTACAACGGACGTATTAGTTTGATGGAACAATACTTGTTCGTTGAGAAAGATTATGTTTAAGAATAAAGTAAAAGTTACGGTGTACCGTTACACCTCAGATCTCAGACCTCAGATCTTGCCCATTCCTAACTACTGGTCAGGCAAAATACTAGCTTGATCAAAAAGGAAACTCTGACTGAATCAAACCGCCAATCAACTCAATCATCAACCTATCCAAATTAAAAATAATGCAATACTATGTTTAAGCAATAAGAAAAAAACCCCTAACATAGCATCATCTAAAATTAAATTTGCCTCAGATGAATAATAATTCACTTAATTTATCCAACAAATAAATTTACAGTACCATTTTTTACTGCATCTCAATCTATATACTAATCTAAGGGGTGTAGCTTCTTAAATATAAATTTTAGTTGTCATAAAGTTACTGCCAACGTAGTTCATGTGTCTTACTTTAATATCGATGCTACTTTGTCGTGTCAAGATATCAATAAATAAATATATGACCAAAAAGTAACGATGATCCACACTGTATACCAATTGATATGTGGAATTAAAATTGTCACTATATATAGTTCCTATCTGAAAATTTTATTCATTACATTACCCTCGTGTTTCCTTTCGAACCTTCCTTTTATTATTATTTCGTTAACAGAATACACATGATAGTTATATATGAATGTACTTTCAAGGCAACACGAATAGTATGCGTTAGCGCGCATTCAATAAATAATAAATTTATGCTTACGAAAAATTGAATTATTTTACATGCTTGACTCTTTATTGCAATAATGAGCAATCTGTCGAAACCTTAATAATACTTCGCTTTCGAATTGTATAACTTACATACAGAGATGAACGGCACTAGATTTCCCTTATTTGTCAATTGATCCTATTTTTTCTTAACTTCGCCCAGCCCAGATAAATGCTACCTGATTTACATGGCCTTATTAATTCAGTTATGTAAATGGTCAGGAGGGCCATCCCCACTGATTTCAAATGATAAAGGACATTTCCTTAATAAAATGAATCGGTTAATTTCACTCTGCCCACCCCCTCGGTAAATCTCTTATATGATAAATTTAGATATGTGGGCTCATTCTATCTGACCAGCTGATTATATATTAGTAATTATTTGATTCATCGTAAGGGAAGAGTTCCGCCAACAGAATTCTTTAACCAGATTAGGATAATACAATCATTTGCATCGAACAATTGGCTCAAACAATAATAACGTCACACAAATGTCGATTTGCATTGTAATTGAAGATTCAGCCGGAAGATTGAACGATTAATTAGCACAACCGGAATAAAAGCAATATAAACTGGGGTAAGGGCATTAAGAGATACTTTAATAAATTAGTAACAGATGTTGAACAATATCGGAGGAAGAGAACAACACCACTCACTTGGTGAAGTCACAGTGATAGAACTAGATATTATTACTCATTCTATATTGTATGCATATCGCATTGATGTATATGTTATTACCATATTGCAAACATCACATTAACGCAACCCACATAGCAGTAGTCATGTTACTCGGGATCAACTATGCAAGCAGTTCATATTACATTGCCACGTGATAAATACGAAATTAATGAATGATATTCCGCCACGCCAGAGACAACTTTACAAGTCTAGCGTACATAACTGTAACAAGACGCTTAAAAAGTTTATAGGATATTTGTAATGAGCAGATTACGCCTAAATATTATACTCCTCACCAGTCATTTTCGTAATTTTCCAACATATCTTCGTCAATGTTATAAATCCAGTCTCTAACGTTCTATGTTACGTACATACTCGGATAGAATGATGATGATGATGATGATAAATGGCAATAAGTTTTTCCCTTGCTGCGAATTTGTTTAGTGATACGAAAACGCCATGCAGCGCGCGGCTATGGTAATATAAGAACATGCATGATAGAATGTGCTACATAAACACTACGGAGTTGTCAATGTATTAATTACCAAAGTATCCCCACCCCTTAAAAAGAGTAAAATATAAAATACCCGGGGTACTTTTAGTCAGCGGTCTAGCTGTCTCATCGAAACTTTGTATAACAAATGAATAACGCTGCTGATTTGTCCTCAGGTCTTTCAGTTGCCTACGAGAAACTGTATGAGAGTGGCAAATATACAGATATTTCAATCCAAGTTGGAAGAGAGCCAAATAGCAAGATATTTCTCGCTCATATACTGGTATTATGTGCGAGAAGCCCATTTTTTGGGAATAGATTATATGAAAGTACGAAATCATCTGAAGCTCAAAAAACAAAAATGGCGTTTGAAGATGTGGCACCAGATGCTTTCGAAATATTACTTAGGTAAAATATCATATATACAATAAGTTATATGGTTCGATTGATGTCAATACAATGCTCACGATAATAAATTAACATTTTGTAGGTTTATTTATAACGGGAAAATTTCCTACGATTTATGCGAAAACGTAGGTTGGATTGGCTTGTTAGATGGAGCTAGCATGTTTGAACTATTTGATCTCCTCGCTGCAGTTGAAAGTTATCTGATTTATAAACGAAGTAAATGGATTCGACAGAATATTATTGCCGTTCATAAGTATGCTACATCTAACGCCTCTCTAAAAAAGCTTTTGGGCTATTGTGATAAAATTATGGTTTCCCAACCAGGCACTGTCTTTAAATCAAATGATCTTGGTACCTTACCAAAGGAGACTCTGATCACTCTACTCAAGAATGATAACCTTAGCATGGATGAAGATGATATTTGGATGTCAGTCATACAATGGGGTATTAAACAAGTGCCTGAACTAGATCTTGGAAGTGATCCAAGTGATTGGTCATCTAATGACAGTAACACAGTCAAAGATATCATAGCAGATTGTATACCTCATATAAGATTTGTCAGTATCACCCCTATCAAAGTTGTTCTGTATGACGAGTTATTACCAAAAGTGTTACGTCGTGATATACTGAATTCTCATTTGGACGAAAATTATGAACCAATCACTTGCATGTTATCACCAAGGACAGGATCAGGGTATCACCTTGATTGGTTGTTTGCAGATCCACCGTCACTACATAAATCATGGATATGTAAATTAAAAATTCACTCACAAACTAAATAAAATTTTCCATGACATGGCGTTGTGCATTTCTATAACCACATCGGCCATTATTACATGCGCCTTTACAATTACATATTACAGTATTTGACTAATTGATGTAGTTCTAACAAGCCTTGGCCTCTTGCTGCCTCTCTTACACTTATTATTTGTTGGGTATTTCAGCTAATTCTACTAAATTTAATTCATTGATACCATAATAATAAGTGACATTCAGAAATCCTCCAGTCGATATTTTCCATTTGATTTTTCGATTATCCTTTCAAGTCAAGAAGTAATGATCGATCGACAACTGTACTGATGATATGTGGAATTAAGATTGTCACACTATAGTTCCTATCTGAAAAATTTATTTATTACATTACCCTTAGAAAGGAGTTGCTCTCGTATTTCCTTTCGAACCTTCTCCTTATTATTATTCCGTTCAGCTATTTCTCTCAACCTTGTATGCTGAGTTAACGGAATACTACATGATTCATAAATATAATATAAGTGTTTGTAAACAAGGAGTCATATATGAATGTACTTTCAAGGCAATGGCAACACGAATAGTATGGGTTTCGAATTGCATAACTTGCATGCAGAGATGAACCCTTATTTGTCAAGAACAATAGACAGTATAAGGGAGGAACTTGAATTGAATACTGCAAAGATTCCTTCCCATATTTCGTTGAATCCTACTTTTTTTAACAGACAAAGACTTCACACCCAGCCGATTTACATGGCCTTATTAATTCAGTTATGTAAATGGCATGCATGTCAAGACGGTAGTCGATTAGCCATCCACTGATCCCGAATGATAAAGGACATTTCCTTAATAAAAATGAATCGGCAATGCAATATACATTTTGTAAATAAAA